CTTCCTTGTCATGGCCCAAAGTCAGATTCCTGCCTAAAGCCCATTTCCTTGTCCTTGGCCAATGTCAGATTCCTGCCAGGTGGTCCCAAAAGCTCTCCACAAAGTTCAATAAAGCCTTTCCTCCCCAGCTTTCTTTTTGGTGTTTTGCTGCAGCAGTAGAAATCCTAACTAAGATGGTGCAAGTCAAACAACAGTTCCACCTGGAAAGAGTAGCAGGCGTGAGTTGACATAGGCTTAGTGAGGTCCTTTCTCAGCGAGACCCAGACCATGACAGGAGCTTCTTGCCCACTCACTGTCTCTCTGCTTCCTTCCACTTTTTCTTATGTTGGAGACAGACTTCTGTGCTGTTCTGTGACTTCTAAGGTGCTGGCTGAGTGGGTGAAGGGTCTGGAAGGCTGCTCAGGGCCACTTTCTGAGTAACAGTTTAAAAACATTTTGCTTGGCTCTTGGTGTTGAGGACTCTGCATGTTCCTTCATGCTAAATGCTGCTGACTTTCCCTGAATGCTCTGTGTGACCCAGATGGCTGATTTTCCTTCCTTGCAGAGGATGCTGTTTCCTGTTTACATCAGCATCACCACCCTTCTGGGACTGGCTCAGGAACTGTGGGAGGGTGGGCGAGGCTTGCTCTGCTTATCCTGTGCTCTCGACCCAGAGGACTGGAAAGGAAAGGAAAGGAAGGCTCTTGAGGAAGAGGAGGGGCCGTGGAAAGAAATGGGGTTTCTCAGAAGGAAGGGAGCCCAGGAAAGAAATGGGGGAGCAGCCTGTTCTGCGTGCAGTGACCTATGCCCATCAAGGACAGAAGTGAGGAGGGTTCCAGGAGTGCTGAGTAGCAACGGAGGTAGCCTATGTGTTGTCCATATGAGCTAGGAGTCGATATGGGGCTATATGTTCAATAAAGTCTGCATAAGGTCTTGGATGTGAGTTCAAGAAGGACACTGAGATGGATTCCTGGGGAAGGGCTTTATTTGAAGACCTCAGACCACGGTACCAGAGAAAAAGAGCATGGCAGGACTGAAGAGAGATGGAGATAGCCTGGGCAGATCACACTGCCTTCAGTAGCTCTGTCACAGACACCCACATGCACTCTACAGTGGCACTGTCTGACTCCCAGGTATCAGGATCTTATCTAGAAAGTACACCAGAGAGCATTGGTGGCCGCTCGTCCTGCCTCCTGCATGGGAATCAGCCAGCCTGGCTGCAAGCTCGCGCTGTGAGACCACCTCCATTCTCAGAAGTGCTTGAGAGACCCAGCCACTGGAAAAATGCCTCAGTGGTGAACACACTAGTGAGCTAGCCTCACTTCCTAGACTAAAGCTGCCACCTGCTGCAGAAAGTTTTCCTGTACTTCTGGAATTTTATTTTATTTATTTATTTTTCCAAAGGGGAAGGGGTTTATTCAGGGCAGAGGGCAAAGGTGGGGAGAGAAATGGGAGAAGATGGTGGAAAAAGAGGAGAGAGGAGAGAAGTGGAGGCCGGCCATGACCACATGGAGAGAGGGGAAGAGAAAGGGGGAAGGGCGAGGGGACAGAAGCTAGAGAGACAAGAGAGTAAGAGAGTAAGAGCTGGAATTTTATTTTTTAAATGTATATTTATTTAATTACTTGTTGTGGGACAGAGGCATGTGTGTGGAAGCCAGAGGACAGTGTTTTTGGAAGTTAGCTCTCTCTTTTTATTCTGTGTGTACCAGAGAATGAACTCAGGTAGTCAGGCTTGACAGCAACTGTTTTTCCCCACTGAGCTGTCTTCCTGGCTCCACTTCTGACTTAAAAGCAAGCAAGCGGCCGGGCAGTGGTGGCACGTGCCTTTAATCCCAGCACTTGGGAGGCAGAGGCAGGAGGATTTCTGAGTTCGAGGCCAGCCTGGTCTACAGAGTGAGTCCCAGGACAGCCAGGGCTACACAGAGAAACCCTGTCTCGAAAAACTGAAAAAAAGCAAGCAAGCAAGCAAGCAGACATTTAAAATGTTTGTGGGTGCTACATGTGTGTTGATCCCTGGCATGGCCAGAAGAGGGCATCAGACCTCTTGGAGCTGGAGTAACAGACAGATGTGAGCACTGTAAACTGGACTCAGATCCTCTGGAAGGGAGCAATCTCTCTTCACCGCAGAGCAAGCCCTCTAGTCTCTCATTCTGATTTTGCTGTCCAGAATGTGCTGCTTTTTTTCTGGGCCAGAATCTGGGCTCCAGGTCTGTCTTCTGCCCAGCATGCAAGCTGCTGTGGGGTGCTTCCTGTTGACAGCCACTTTTCTGAGTGGAAGGTCTTTGCCTTTAGGTGGAGGAGAGGACAGAAAAACTTGAGGCTCTAGCTTCCCGAGGTGTGCTTGGTGCTGACCTCCATGCCTGGTGTAAGGCTGAGTAATTGGAGAGGTGGCCAGCTTCAGCGGTCCTAGCTGTTGGGGAGGAGCGTGGGAGTGTGAATGGGTGTTGGCCTCTTGCCCAGTGGTACTCCTAAGTAGGACCCTAAGGTGTTGATTTAGAGACATCCTGAGGTTGCTCATTGGAGGCTGGTAAAACCTGGGGAGTTCCCTTCCTTCAGGTCTGCTTCTCCCAGACTTACTCCATTTCTTGGTCCCTCATCCCATCGTCCTGAGATAGTGGCAGCAGCCATAGTGCTTTGTGAGAGTTCCTTATCTCCTTTTCCTGACTTGGGTCTCAGGAGACCGCTTTTTCCTCCACTTTGAGGAAGTAGAATCAGGTTTGGGAAGATGAAGGTCAGCCTTGGGATCCGTAAAAGGCACCTGGAGCCTATTTTATTTTTTGGTTTTCAGAGACAGGGTTTCTCTATCTAGCCTTGGCTGTCCTGGAACTCCGTAGACCAAGCAGGCCTCGAACTGAGAGATCCTCTTGCCTCTGCCTCCCAAGTGCTGAGACTAAAGGCATGTGCCATAATTCCTGGAAGATATTTTATTTTATTTTATTTTATTTTATTTTATTTTATTGTTTATACAGTTTTACTGTGTACCCTTAACTGACTTGGAAATTCACTATAGACCCATGCAGGCCTCAGGCTCAATGCAGTCTCCTGCCTCATCCTTTTGGGTGCTGAAATCACCGTATATGGCCAGAGAGATTCTTAGCATCCTCTTCTTAATTTTCCCAGCGCTAGCCTTTGTTTTTGTCCTTTCCTGCCTAGGAACCCAGCAGTCTCTGTGAGTCTCCTTGACAACGGGATAGATAAGTTAAAAATAACTCTGTGCTGGGCCTTCTCTGGTGTTTGGCTCAGTTCCTGTGGCTTCTAGATGCTCCTAGAGTGTGTCAGTGGGTGGATTACAGGGCGGCCAGGGCAGGTGATTACAGCTGAAGCCCTGAGGTTTAGGGATCAGAACTACATAGCCACCACATGGTGTTATATCTAGTCTTACTACAGGCAGTTGGTTGCCAGTGCAGTGTGAGTGTAAATGTTAATGAATGGAAAACTGATGTTGGTGCCAGGACTTCACTTCCTCTAACTGAGAGGAGCAGTCATGGAGGTATTAGTGTCTCAAGTCTCTGTGACAGTGGAGTGGGACACAGCTCTGGTGGCAATTGCTTATCTCTTTCAGGGAATCCCTACACTGGTCTGGATGATGTAGATCAGTGATAGGTAAAGTAATGTTCTGGTCTTACATTCACAAGGCCCTAGGCTTAATTACCCAGTACTGTAAAACAAAGCAACACACAAAAAGGAACCCCTAAAAAATCTGGGTCAGTGGTGACAGAGGCTGTGGCTTTTTGCCCTTGGTTTGGTTCAGGTACAGGTGGAGCAGGGTTTTCAGAAATGGACAGCTATTTCTGGGTATTTAGGCTGTCATAGGGATGAGCCTGGGCTTCTTAAACAGTGGCAGGCTCAGGGCCAGGCCCTCAGAAATTAGTTAGGGCCTCCTCCATTTTGCATTCTTGGGAAGCCATTTCTGTCTTATACCTCCTCTAGGGCCCTTGGTGTGGGGGTGCTAACAGATTGTGCATGATATAGCTGTCTCTATTCATGTCAGAACCCTGTCAGAATTACTGGTGGCCCATCTGTCCTGTCACCTTTTTGGGTTATAGAGTGCGTGTGGGACCGGTTGGGTTGGTGTATGTAGGTCCCTTCTCTGTCTCGCCATGTGGCTAGGGTCTCTCGTGGGGACAGAAGCTCGGGAATTTGACTGTGTTCACCCCACCTTGTAACTGTGCAGACGTTGGGCTATGTAAAGCTGTGGGACTCCTCTTGTAGATGAAGAGCACAGAGCTAGAGCTTTTGGCTTGGGGGTTCCTGGGCCAAAAGGTGGCCAGGAACCGGCTGGTTCTTAGGCCCTTGGGTTCCCAGGTACTGCTGGGGTGCTGTGGAAGGGCTGAGAATGAAGTGGGGGCTGGGTCACAACTTGCTTGTCTGGGTCATGGCTGCTCGCTTGGCTTGGGTGGCTGGGTTGATGGTTTCCGTGACTGGGAACGCAGAGAATTCTTAGATGAAGACCTGTTCACTGTTCCCCACAGCGGGTCCCAAAGAAGAGAAACAATCCATGCATGGTGTTAAGACATTATTGTCATGGCGGAAGATAGATGAAAACTATACCCTGGTATTTTCAGAGTGGTCCTGAGGTTAAATACCTTTTGCAAGGAAGAGGGTTTGGGAAGGAATGTTTATTAGCTATACCCCCTGGCCTTTAGGTGCCTCATTAATATGGAAATCTCTCTTGAGGCTCTGTGGCCTGTAGTTACATCCTCTACCTGTGGAGGGGCTAGTGGGTGTTGTCCTACGTGACTGGAGGACTCGACTCTATGGAGGTCCGCAGCCTAGGGTCAGGAGCCTGGAGTCTGGGAGTGTGGCAAAATGCATGCCGTCGGACGTCCGTTAGGATCACCTGGAGTCTCCAGGGATTTCTAGCCTTGCTCGACCAGAAGCCGTGCCGTCCTTTCCCGGTCCTACATCACCTCACCATGCTTGGTGCTCTGAGTTTCTGTAATGGACCTCCCGTGACAGCTGTTCACTTCTTAGTGGTCACCCAGCAGTTTTGACCTTTGCTCTTTGTTTTTGTGTTGTAGGAATCAGAGTCTGAAGCAAAGCTCGATGGAGAGACGGCATCAGACAGCGAGAGCCGAGCAGAAGCAGCTCCCCCACCAGCCTCCATAGACGACACCCCAGAGGTCCTTAACAGGGCCCTTTCCAATTTGTCCTCAAGGTAACCTGGCGTCGTGGTGCGCAGTGTCCGACTGAGGCTTTTAGGATTTCCAGCTCAAGGTTGTCTTTTCTCCTCCATATACACCCACTGTGCACATTTCCTTCAGTCCAGGAAGACTGAACTTAGGAAGACTTACTTTCTAAGAAGTAAGATTCCTGACCCCCAAACCAGCCCACTTAACATGAGTTGTGTTCGTGCATGAGAAGCACAAGTCATAAGACTCCAAAGCACTTTCTGAAAGTGTTCCTGTGCCCCTCCTGTGCGTAGGGCATCATGAATCCTTAGCCTTACCACTAGTTTGCTGTGGAATCTTTCCATTTCTCAGCATAATACGGACAGATATTATGTGCTGATTTAAACATGCATTTGAAATAAAACCTATCCAGATTGTTGTGTTGAGGGTGGGGTTGGTTGCCGCATAACATTGGTGTAGACAAGCCCAGTGCGTATTTGAGGCAGTTGGCACTCTTGGGCTAAGATGGCTGTTATCATTGTGACTTCAGGGGCATGCTGTGTAGAAGCCAGCTGCAAGGAAAATGATTTTAACTTCCTCTTTTCAGATAGACATGGCCATAGAAGCCATTCATGTAGACACAGAAGGGAAGGACACTATCTTCTCTTCTGGCTCTCCCCACACTACCTCCATGCTTTGTTTGAGGTTTGTGCTAGTGGCTTCTGTACCTGCTAAGTGGTTGTGAGCAGGCAGTGGTGCTGAGGTCCTGCCCTCACCAGCTGTGCCTCTTTTGAGGTGAAGGGATGTTCAGGAGAGGGTTACACCAGGGCCTCCAGTCTCACCTCCTTAGGCGTGTGCCTGACAGGTCTTTCTCTCTTACCTAGGTGGAAGAACTGGTGGGTGAGAGGCATCCTGACTTTGGCCATGATTGCATTTTTCTTCATTATCATTTACCTGGGACCAATGGTTTTGATGATGATTGTAAGTACCATTGACAAGCCATGTTAGTGCTTCACTCAGCTTTCCTGGGGGATTGTCATCTCCAGTCTGCTGCTGCTGACAGTACCTGGTGATAGGTTGCTTCTGGGACTCTCTGGAGCTCCAGGTTTCTCAGAACCTTCTGTCTTAGAGCATCTGTAACTTGCCGTTTTTCACATGCCAGCTGTAGGGTCACTACATGAATGGTGAGCTCAGAAAGCAGGTGAGGCCCCCACATTTATAGCTTCAGGGTCAGAGTGGGAAGAGGATTGGCTGAGACCTGGAAGGCTCTAGAAGAAAAGGGTAATCAGGGTTCCAGGACTGTGCATTTTATTGTGACATAAAGGGCTGCAGTGCGCGGTGGGGTGGTACGCGAGAGAGCGCGGATCAGTGTGAGACTGGAGCGTTTCTTAATGCCGGAGCTTTACTGAAGCTGTGACCTGAAGACCCTAAGAAGAGCTCTCTGATGCCTCTGTGTTTTTCCAGGTTATGTGTGTTCAGATTAAGTGTTTCCATGAAATAATCACTATTGGCTACAATGTATACCACTCCTACGACCTGCCCTGGTTCAGGACCCTCAGCTGGTAAGCTTTCTGTTCCATGGGTCAGGCACCTTGCCTGATTTGGGTGATGTGATTTGTGGCAGGTACCTACAGTGCTGGTGGAGACATTGCCACAGACTTGCAAGGTATCTTTGAGTCTGGATTGTATGGGTCCTTTTGAGGAGTCTTGAGAAGCTGAGGACTTCACTAAAACAGATGTGTCTGTGGTTGGGTTTAGCTCAGCAGTAGGGTCCTTGGGCTCCTGCAGCCAGGGATGGTATTGTGCATCTGTACCTGAGGTCAGTGAATTTTTTATGCTGCAGCCCAGCACATCACTGGAGTCATCTGGGAGCTAGCAGGTTCTGGTGCTGGTATTGCTGTCTCTGGAACTTGATTTCCTCATTACCACAACAGATTGTTAAGGTTACTTTCTTTAAGACACTTAGGGTGCCAGTGTGGTTAGCATCTGAGCTCCTTCAGAGAGACTCTTTTTTTCTTCTCCTAAAAAGGCTTGGCTGCCTAACAGCAAGCACTAAATAAAGAACTGTGGCACATATGATTTCTGAGCCCTTTCCTGACCCAAAGCTCTGCTGTTAGCTATGCTGTTCTCAGGTAGTGTTATTCTAGCAGAACTGGGAAGACCCACTGACCATGAGAATTGGTCTGTGACTTAATAGGCTGGACAGGAATGATTTGTGCGTAAGCAACTTGGCTATAGTCAAGGAAGCTGACACACTCAGATCTGGGCACACTGTTCATGTGCATCCATCACTCAGCAGTACAAGCTGACTCTCAGCTGCCACCCGCCCTCTGGGCTAAGATGTTGTTCTCTTTGTGGCTGTTCTGTAGCTAGACAGCTGTGTTTTTCGTCTTGCTAATGTGCTCAGGAGGCCTGACTGTTCTTGTCAGTCACTTTACAAAGAAATTTTGTTTCCTACCAAATAAATCCAATAATTAAAAGTTGGGAAAGAGAGGCTTTTTAGTTTCTTCCTGTTGAGGACTTGGGTGATACAGTGTGATCCAATACCCAGAAGCAAAGTAGAGGCTGCATGCGGGTGTAGGGTGGGTCTTCCCTCAGGTCTTCAGTTGAAGAGAGGATGTAAACAGATATGCAGCTGATGCTGGTTGGGGGGTCTGGGTTCCAGCCGGGCTTCCACAGGGGCTCATGTCCTGATATAGAGCCTAATTGCCTAATGAGGTCATCAGTTTCTACTTGCTGTAGAAATAAATGCAGCATGTTAGATGTCAGGTCATGCAGCTTTTTAAAAGTTCATTTTTATAAAATGGTATTAAAACAACAAAGGAAATTGATGGGTAGGTGAAGGGAGTGTTCCAGAAAGGAAGAGGTAAGCCAGAAGAGACAGTAACAAAGCCAGTGAGCCGCTTTAGACAGTGAGGGGTCCTGATGGCTAGTACGAGTGAGCCTAGGGAGGGGGGCTGGTGTACACTGGAGGGTCCTGAGGTTCGGTGTGGGAACACAAAAGGAGAAACTGACGTCCAGGTCTGTAACTAAGGGAGGGTGAGTGAAAGATGCCACAGATGTCTAGCTCAGCTCTCACGGTGGGGCAGGCTGTCTGACAGTGTCGTGGATGAGAGCTGCATACACTCCCCTCACGCAGTGTTCTCATTGATTCCAGGTACTTCCTCCTGTGTGTGAACTACTTCTTCTATGGGGAGACAGTGACAGACTACTTCTTCACTCTGGTCCAGAGAGAGGAGCCTTTGCGGATTCTCAGTAAATACCACCGGTTCATCTCCTTTACCCTGTATCTGACAGGTATGTATCACAAGTTTCTGCAGTTCTCTGGGCATTAAGTTCCTCTGTTTGATTTATAAGAGTTGATTATAGTTTTGTGATGTTAACTCTGACCATGCTAGGAAGTGAGCTGACAGCTCTGTCTTACATTGACTGTAAACTATTTTTTTTCCTGTGGGCTTTGAAGTTAATGTAGTGCTTAATTGTTACAAATGAATTAGTCATTGGACTTCTTAACTCAGTTGAAGAGAAAGAAATGCAGTGTGATTGATTTTATTCTCTCCTTCTGTCGCCAACTAGGATTCTGCATGTTTGTACTGAGTCTAGTTAAGAAGCATTATCGGCTGCAGTTCTACATGGTAAGGGCAGTGTGTGTGTGTGTGTGTGTGTGTGTGTGTGTGTGTGTGTGTGTGTG